TGTTCCCTCCTCTGTGGTGCCCTGGGGCTCAAGCCATTCAGCTCTTGGGAGGAGCCTCATTCAGAATCACTCACTGGATCAATGTGATGTGCCTTTGTGTGGCAGGACTCCTTTTGTTCCTGGCTCCTCTTGTCTGTGCCTCTCAGCCCCTGCCCCCAGGGTGCTTTGTAGGAGATGGTTTAATTTGATTTGGTGCAATCTGAAAGAGCCCTTTTGGAGTGCCTTTTGGGGACCTGGCATTTGGTCCCCACCACTAGAATAGAAGGAGGCTCTAGATGTGTTGCTGATGCGTGTGGGTGTGGATGGAGCACGCCTGCATGGGGGGCATCCAGTTATATGCCTGCACACCCGCTGCAGGGCTGTGTACTGTGCTCCGTCATGTGCGTGCAGGACCTACAGCAGAAGGGTTTCCCATGAAGAGCCTCTTCCCAGTATAAGGGGGTCATGCCTGGTGGTCTGCAGTCTCCTACCTGCCTCCTTGATAGATTCTGAGAAAAGCAAGGAAAGGTCAGTGAAATGGGTTAGTGGACACTCATAGGGCCTGAGAGCAGCCTGGATGGGAATGATGTCTTGATCACTCAAATCCCTTTAGTGCATTGAGCTTGGCTACTACCCTGATCCTTGGCCAAAGTCGCTTAGCCTAGCATATCTCTAGATTCACTGTGCACAATAGTGGTGATCATGTTAACACAGAGTCTGGTTCAGTCAGTCTGGGGGCAGAGCCCGAGAAGCTCCATTTCTAGCAAGCTCCCTGGTGATGCTGCTGGTCCATGGCAAACGGTGCAGGGACGGGGGGAGGGTTGAGGGAGTTTTGAGTTGATCTAAGAAAATGATTAGGAGCATGCGAGGCAGTGGTAACACACAAGCCTCCCTGGGTGGCGCTTGGAAAGGGTTGGGTGAGAAAAGCCTCTCATAGCATGCGACTGTCCGCAGGGAGGCTTACAGCATGCTGGGGACCGCTATCCAGAAGGACAGGAGGGCAGGGGATTTCCTGCCAGGGAGAAGAGTGTCAGGAGGGGGCTAATGGGTCTAGGTCTCTGGGTCAAAGGGCTCTGAGGGCAGCAGAAGCTGCGTATTTATCTTATCAAGGGCAGCACTGTACGCAAAGCAGGCAGGCTCTAAATGGCTAAAAATGTGTTTGGTCTGTTTTTAAAGTAACTAGATGTGTAAAAATTTGAGTTTGGCCTAGGAAGGCTTTTGAGCTAATGGGTCTCAGCTTGCAGTTAAAATATAAACCACCAAGGGGCCAATCCATAAAGGCTGGCTTATTTCAATAACAATACACTTGGTGTGGCAAAAGTCACCTGTAGTTCAAGGCAGCCCACGGTTTCACAGCTGGTTTTGGGTAATTGTCCTTCCATAATTCACTCCTTGTCGTGGGTCCCTTTGTGGCCCCTGAAGACTTGACTGTGATGGGATGGGGGATGCATCACTGGGAGGGAACAAATCTACCTGAGTATTTGAAAGGCTTGAATTAAAGGCAACTCTCATGGGTCAGGACAGAAGAAAGATAATAGAACATGAAGGTGTCTCTGTGCCCCTTTGTTAGAGACTCATGTTTAGCAGGCATTCAAATCACCATGTATAGACCCGGCCCTTCTTAATTCTCAAGGAGGGGGGAAACAAAGAAACCCGCGAAGGAGGTCCTGAGATCCGCGTTTACAGTGGTGATGCTGAGGCTGGGGGAAGTGGGGTACCGGCCGAGGCTGCACTCCTGGTGGCTGCCAGGGCTGGATGGGAACTTGTCTTTGGGTAGCAGGTGCAGTGATGTTAACATCAGCTGCTCCCTCTGAGCAACTGTGATAAACACGTGACTGCAGGAGGCGCCTTCAGACCGGTTGTTGGGTGCCCTGAATTTGGGAGCTTTTATTCATTGTTTCTAACAGCGTGATGGGGAGACCCCACCTGATCAGTATTTTACCCAGATCCATGGGAAAAACTACCTGTGATTTAGTGGAAATGAGTGTGCAATACTCCCAGCGGAGCGCCCCGAGGCTGGCTGCCATGCTGCAAACCAGAGACAGGTTTGCCGACGCTGGTGCAGAGCGCAGTGGAGATGTGTGGTTTGCTTGGCACCTCCCAGCCAGGAATCGGATCAGCTGGGGGGTTGCTCCTCAGGGCCTCCTGGGGAAGCATGCAGAGGGAGAGGCTCCTGTTATTAACACCACAGAGGACCGTAGAGAGGGTTGGAATATGGGGGCCCCACGCAGGGCCGCGGAGCTGGCCAGCTGTGGAATTCTGTCCTGGAACACAGTGTTTTAGGTCTGATTCTGCAAGAAGCAGATCCTCTTTGAGTGTATAAGTAGTTTATTTAGGAGGTGGTTCTAGAAAGCACTGTTAGGGATGGGGAAGTGGGCTGGGAAGACAAGACAGCTAGTAGAGGTGTGTAAGTGAGCAGGTTACCACTGTGGGCCCCTGGGGCTCACAGGGCTGGCACTCACCTCCGAGTTATCCCACCAACTCCCATCTGCCATGGACGTTGACTCTCTGGGATGGGCATCTAACCTGCCTTGTAGTCAGAACCCACTGGAATGTGTGGGAATGGTGAATGCAGAGGGGACAAGATACTGTCTGTGTCTGCCCTGGTGGAGCTTACCGGCTAGTGCAGAAGAGTTTATATAACTCTCCCTTATGCTCGCTGTGTTCCTGGCATGCAGTGACACCAATGAATCATTGCTTTTATCATCTTATTTATTTTTATGTTTACATCTTGGTGACAGTATCTGCTTATCTTCAGCCAAAGATCTCCAAAGCCCGCTCATTGTAACAGCTTCTGAGTACACAAAATATCTTTTACTGAGGTTACAGGAGTCCAGAGCCAGCCCAAAGAAAATGTGGGAAGAGGGGCAAACCCCTCTTTCTAGCTTCCCTGTCGAACAGCAGAGGGAAGCACAGCCAGCAAAAGGCTTGCCCTCCTTCACAGCAACAGCCATCAGCTTGACTCCTGGCCGGTTACCCATCGCAGTGCTGTTCGTTTAGGGACAATACAGAGTCCTCACAGTTTGTTTGCCTCAGGGATTAAATGCAACTTTAAAATGCTGTAGTCATCAAACAAAACAAAATTAAACACACGCCTAGAAAACAGAACCTGAGATGAATCAGGGCTTCTGTGGGGACATCAGGCTGATGGTTGTGGGGACCTGAGTTGGCAGCCGGCAGTGGACAGTTACACATCTTTTGACTGATCTGTCTTCTTCTGGTTCTTTCCAGTGACTGGGCTGGTTGTTGCTTTTTCCAGTCATGGACCGTCTACCCTGGTTCTCTGTTTTGAGTTCTCTAGAGCCGTAAGTCCGGCCCCGGCACAGGCTTGAGGGGCCCCAAGACTGTGGAATTAGGCGGGGAATTAGGGGTCTCTGAGCTCGCGGAGCCGGATGCTGAGCGGGGCTAAGCCTAGGGGTGCTCTTCTCCCAGGCAGAGGTCACGGTCAGCAGCCCTTGTTTTGCAATCTGTGGGTTGTGTAATCAGTTTACTGCACAGGATATTAACCCTGGGGTCCATAGTTCTGTGGCTAGAATTCAGGAGGGTCTGTAAATTTCAGTGGGAAAAATTCACGCCCTTATCTTCATTAATTTCTAATTAATACCTAACATTTCCTTGGATTATAAATAAAGGTAATAACCCACAGTGGTATTAGTCATACCTGTGTCTTTGTCACCAACAGAAACCATAGATGCTTTCCTCCCACGTGTTTGTGCAGCTCTTGCAAAGTAACAATGATACGTCTCACTACTTTGCCATCACAGCCCACATCCTTGTGCACTAGTAAAGAAGTACATATGCAACTGTCTCCCAGGTTATTTAAAAATAGCTGAACTATTTAAGAGCTGCATTTCAGTGTAGTCTATTTCACTTGTCATCTTACGGATTTCATTCCTACGCGTTTATAAGCATTATTCTGAGAAGGGGCGATAATTTCATCAAACGGACACTAAAAAGATTATAACCTCTGCTTTAGCAGGTCATGACCAGCACGATTTTCAATGAAAGAGAATAGAAAAGAGGATAAATTATTAGAGGCACAAAATAAGAATAACTACTGCTCTATGAAACTTTGGTTTTGGTGATGTGTGTCTACATAGGTTGTAATGTAAAATATAGTTTTTCCTGTGGGTCAAAGGCAGGGTGAAGAACATTGATTTAATCCTGAAAGGGGAATGTGTATCCTTCTTTTATGGGTTCACAATCTCTTATCTAAAACCCCTGGGGCTAGATGTTTTTTCAGAGGTCAGAATATTTTGGACTTTCAGAAGAGAATGCATCGCATCATCCATACATTATATGAGACCCAGGAGAGTCAGGGCAGCCCCGTGAGATCAAACATATGAATATATCTGTTTCCTGCGGGGAAACACGTGCATCTTTGTGCTGAGGAGGAGAAATGACACTCAGGGGTGTCCTGACGTTATAGTTGAAGCCATCTTTTGCTGCCAAAGGAACGATACAAAGTACTTGTGATTTCCAGAGCTTTGTGGATTTTGGAATGGTGGAGAAGGGAAGGAGGGCTCAGCAATTCCCCTTTATGTGACCACTTAATGAATGCAGGTGGGTGGGGACACGGATTCAGTATTTTTCAGGATAATTTTTGACATCCCCTTATTTTCCCATGATTAACTTTGACTGGTTCATAGTTTAATACTCACTTTATATTCCCTTTCTTGTGATGTTGTTAATTCACGTTTTCCCCTAAGGCAACAAAAAGCAATTTTTAAAGAAATAAACCATCATAGTATTTCAACTACATTTTTTTTGCCAAAATACATCATGCTTTTCACCTCCATCTTCGTTCGAGGATATATGACATATTCCCCATAACTACACCAGTGTTATTATCCATTTAAAGATAATACTTTTGGTACTTTGATTCTGACACCAATTCTGATGTGTGAGTGTTTTCACCAACCACCATGCAATTCTCTAACACCATCTGGGTGGCCTACAAGTCAACTCAGTTCTGACACCATCTACCTGGAGCTGCCATCAGACCCTACAGGTGAAGGGCTCAGTCCTACAGGACTGCCCTCTGACCCCACTTCAGGTGCCAAACACCCAGGACGCCACCTGTTCTTCTGACAGACCTGCTATGGATTGGAGGTCCCCACCTCCTCCTTGGGTTTGATTAATTTATTAGAGCTGCTCATGGAACTCAGAGAATAACATTCTACTCACTAGACTATTGGCTTGTAATAAAATGAAATAACTCAGGAACAGCCAGATGGAAGAGATGCACAGGGCAAGGTATGGGGAAAGAGCACAGAGCTTCCATGATCCCTCCAGGCACCATTTTCCCCAAATCTCCATGTGTTCCCGACTGGAAGCTCTCTGAACCCTGTCCTTTTGGGGTTTTATGGACATGATTGATTAGATTATTGGCTACTGGGGACTGAACCCAATCTTCAGCTCCTCTTCCCTCCCAGGAAATTGGGAGCGAAGGCTAAAAGTTCCAACCCTTTAATCTAATATGGGCTGGTTGATTCCCCTGCCAACCAGCCCCCATCCTTAGGTGACCTAAGGGCTTTCCTAAACTCATCTCATTAACATAAACTCAGGTGTGATTGAACAGGATTTGTTAGAAATATCCAGAGATGAGTTTGCAGTGGCACACGGAAACTGAGCAAACTCCACAGTCCACGTTAACATTACACAGGCATCGGTGTGTTGTGGTGAGGAGAAAACCATTGGTTGTTAACAAAATCTCTATGCCAAGAGACCCCACTTCTTTTTTTTTAATGGTAAAGTCAAATTTTATTATATTCAGATCTCAGTTCTCAGATGATGGGTTTTTTTTGTTTTTTAAACATTTTTTTTATTGAGTTATAGTCACTTTTACAATGTTGTGTCAAATTCAAGAGACCCCACTTCTACTCACTGTTCTCTTCATAGAGGCAACGGTGTATCACGGGAGAAAACCAACCTTCTGTCTTTGGAGCTCTGGGCCCATAACTGTCCCTGGTGCACCAGATGACAATAAGTCTCTTCCCCAGGAAATGGGTATATCGAGCCACAGGCTATTACGAATAAATCTTCTATGAACATTTATGTTCAAGTCTTTTTGTGTCCATATTTTTTTCATTATTTTTGGGTAAATACCTAGGAATGGAATTCTGGATTATTAGGTAAGTTCTAAGGCATATTTGCCTTTATTAGAAACTGCTAAACAGTTTCACAAAGTGGTTGTACCATTTCCCACCAATGGTAGGTGAGCATTCCAATTGTGCCAAATCATTGTCAACACTTGGAATTTTCAGACTTTCTGAAAGCTGTGTATTTATCTGTGATACTGTCTATATACATTAGACATCAGTAAAAAGTTCAAAAAATTAAATCAGCAATTAAACTGGTGGTGGTTGTGTCTCATGTCCAAACTAAATATTTAAATAAATCATTTGGATATTTTACTGACATCCGCCAGGAATTCAGTAACTGAATGTTGTCCTATTTAATTGGTATGTGTTTATTGCACATATGCAGAAATATTAAGGGATGAGGTCTTCAGGTTGGTTGAGAAACACTATTTCTGAAAAAATATTTCCCTAAAGTTTCCTTGAGAAATCTTTTCATCTCTAGCTGCCTTTCTTTTTGTTGACAGGACTTACGGTTCAGAATATTTTGACAGGACCTCATTGCTTTTCTTCTTTTTTCCTGTTTCAGAGCATAAATGCCCAGTGGACGAGAGGGAGCAGTTGGAGGAAACCTTGCCTCTGATTTTGGGGCTCATCTTGGGCTTCGTCATTGTGGTAACGCTGGTGATTTACCACATCCACCACAAAATGACTGCCAACCAGGTCCAGATCCCTAGGGACCGATCCCAATATAAGCACATGGGCTAGGGGCCATCAGGCAGGCAGCCCCCGAGCCCCCCTCCCCCCGGCTGGATCAGATAGAGAAACAAAAGCACTTTCCACCTTGTACCCGGGATATACCAACATAGCTACAACCAAACAGGCCTGGGTATTCAAGTCTTGCTTGGCCTGCATCCATGCTTAAACCCCGGGATGGGGGGATTCTTTTGGGTTCACGGGGTGAAGAGCAGTTGTTCTCTCCATGCTGGGGATTGGGAGGGAGAGGTCAGCCAGCTTTATGCTCATGGTGGCTTGGCTTTGACTCTCCAAGGAGCAACACATACAACTCAGAGGCATATTTGGGTCTGAAGTTTAGGGATTGGAACCACAGAGCTTTTGGAAAGATAGCCCTTAAGGTTCAAGAGGAACATTGGATGCTTTGATCCCTTGGAAACAGATGGCTTACCCTATACTGTTGTCAATGCACACAAAACACAGCCTCACGCTCCCTGCAGCAAGACCCCTGAAAGTGACCCGTGCTTCTGGCTGGCGTTCCGCATGTCTGGTCGTTGTCTTGGGAATGTTTCACTGCTCCCTGCATCCAGTGACTTCGCAGCACAAGAACCTGTTTAATATAACTATGCAGAGTTGTTTGGACTTCATAGTGTGTCAGGTCTGACTAAGGGGACCTGAAGAAGCAATCCATGTTAGTTTGTTTTTCAAAATGAATTAAAACACAGTGCTGTCTAACGTTTGGCTGCTTTCTTGAAACAAGAAAACAAAACTAAAATGGTTTCTGTGGCATCCGTAGGTGAGAGGGGGCTGGTGAAGGTGGGCTTTTCATTCCTGCAGGGGGAAAAGCAAAGACGAGTAGGTAGCAATGAGGGGAAGTTGGCTTTTCCAGGTGAAAAATCATGGATTTATTTTGGCAAATGTAAGTAGTGTTAATAATGGACCTCTTGAACAATTGGTCTAGTGTAGATTCTGATGCTTCTTGGTCTTGAGTTTGACATTTTGGATTAAAAAGCTGGACTGAACATGGTCACTTAGGTTGAGTTTTATTTGAAATAAAATGTAATTTGCTAACATTTCCTAGAAAAATGTACATAGTTTGAATTTCACTCACTTTCTAAATATTCATTTTTTAGAAGATCTGAGGGCAGCTATGGGAAATCCTTTTCTCTGGTGTTAGGGTGGGAATCCCTCCACCCTCATAAGATCACCACCATGTGAGAGGCAGCTCATGAATTATTTCCCCAAGCCTTTAACTGTTGACAGTAGCACATCCTTAGAAGTTCATTGTCCCAGCAAATCTTGCTAAGTACCCGTCCTGTTGCTCTCCTATTTTCTGTTTGTTTGCTGATCTGTCAACCTCAGTTTTTCCTTGCATGATCTCTTTTCAGTGTCTGCCTGGTACCAGTGAGGAACAAGCCCTGATTCCTCATAAAAGTTGCATGCTGCACAAGGAACAGGAGATACCTTTGGTGCCAGTGGACACCCCTCACCCCCACTAATGTTTCCTCCACCCTTCCACCATCTGTGCTCAGCTTATCCCCAGGCCCCAAACTTGACAAGCCCTTTCCCTTTTAGCATCTCATGTATCTGTAAGAAACTTCCTATTTACCTGGAACCATCAAAGGATTTGGGGAGAAATGGACACTTCAATATATCAATGACTTACTCTTGCTTTCTGGAACCTCTTCAGAAAAAAAAATTTAAACTTCCCTGAATTATACTTTGGAAAACTTCATGTTTACTTAATTTAATTTACTTTTACAAAAGTAAAGTTTTGAAAAACAATTTACTTTCACAAAACAGAACTCAGTATGAGTTTGGAATTGTCATTCATTCATTCAGTTTTTGAGCACCTACTGAGTGCAGGCTCAGTGCTGGGTGTACAGTCGTAAACTTGGCAACTGGGAGTCTATAGGGGGAAAAATGACAAGAAAACACACATACACGTATGCAGATCATTCTAAATAGAAAAAAAAATTCACCCTGGTGCTTTTCAAGATGTTTTCTCATGGCCACATCCCTGTCTAAGCTGAAAAACTAGCTCTTCCAAGAATTCAAATTTCTTAGTTCTCAGAATTAAGAGTGATTTTTTTCCCGTCTACAATATGTAGTAGGTATAAGAAGCCATATTACTATGACTATTATTATTAATATTAATCAATGCACCTTTATCTACATGTCCTAAAATTAGGTCTCAAGATCAGCCTACTTTCTATGCGCTTAGCCTTATTTTTCTCAGCCCTTTTTTAATCTTCATCATCGACTAAGCAGAATCAAAGGGAGCCTCCTGATGAGGGCAGGGGCAGGGGCCTCTAGGTGGACAGGGCAGCCCTGGGCTCCCTTCATGTTCATTGCTATTGTCCAGCATTTCACGGAGGCTCCTGCGACAGGAACAAGCTGAGGGGTGGCTCATCAATCTGCATTGCTTCCTGAGCTCAGACTCGACTTGGGAAAGAAAACAAAGAGATAAACCACAGATGCTCAATTACCCCTTTAACTGTCATTTTTCTTTTCCACTGGAGTTTTAAAGACAAACGCCTCCAGGCACAAAAGGATGCTGTGCCTGGTTGCTGGTCTGCCTGCCGGAAAAGCCAGGCTGGATGAGCCATGAGCATATTTCTTTTGGGGGAAGGGAAGTTTGATTTCAATTCTGAGCTTGGGTCTTTGCAGGGTTCCCCCACTCTCCAGAAAGCACTCCCAATGAAGCTGCCACAGGGGGCAGGGAGACTGTTTTCCAGCCCCAGAAAGTCCTCTAAACTACAACCAGTCTCCAATTGTCCAATCTTTCCATTAACAAAGACTTGGCCAAGGCACATGGATGGGGGAGTCACTGGAGCAATGTGAGTGGAGAAACGGGAGGAAAGATGGAAAGAATGCCCTGTGGCATCTGATGGAGGGCAGATGCACTGGAGTGTGTTACAGGGGAGGGTAGTCCAAACCTACACCAGACACAAACACCTCCCTGGAACGAACACCCAAGGAACCTGACCCAGACAGCCACAGCTTTATTTATTTACATGGATTTCAGTTCTAAAAAAAAAAAAAGTGCAGTTTTCAAGCAGCCTGCATCAGAATCATCCCACATGGCTGTTGAGAAATGTCAGTTTTAGGGCATCATTCCAGACTGATTGAGAATCTCTATAGTGACACCCTAGCATCAGCAGTTACACTATTTACTCTCTCCAGGTAATTTTGATGCAGCAGCATGACTACTTCTGGTTTTAAAAAAAAGCCTTTGCTCTGAGCCTACCTGCAACATTGGCCAAATTATTGGGCTTCTTTCTCTTCTCATTTTCTCATCTGAAAATCCCCTCTTTGCAAAGTTCTTTGAAGTTTCACGGCAGTGCCTTTACGTCCCTAGTATCCACCTGGCACACTGGAGGTGTTCCATAAAACGTATTACTGATCATACCTTTCTAGCAGCATTCTTAACATGTGTGTTCAAATTACCTGCCATACGCATTCATGAAAGTTCCAAAGGGATTGATGCAGGATATTTTGTTGCTGTTTTTTTTTTTTTGAACTTGGCATTCACAGTTTTCCGTGTCAGTTTATTCCGAATTCAGAGTATGTTTCTCTGCAGGGATTCTCTCCACCCAGTGAACCACTTAGGAAGTTGTCAGCTTGTGGGGATCGGGGAGATGGTCAGAGTCCATGAACTTGGATGAGAAGAAAATTATACCTTCCGTTTTACTAACCTCAGATGAAAGGCAGCATCTTCAGTTACGAACATAGGCACAGAACCACCGTAGTGTAAGCAGGACCCGTGTGTGTCATCAGGAGAAAGTACCAATTTATACTCGTTGGCGACCCCTCAGGAAATCATCTGTATTCCTGATTTGAAATTATGGTAGTTACTACATCTTCCATCACAATCTTGTTATTAAATGCATTATAACCATAACATTAAAAAATTTTTGAAAACGATACTTTAATTGGTTTCCTTTGTAAGCCTATGTATTTTGCTCAATGCATTTAAAAACATTTTTTTCTGAGGAGCCCATAGGGTTCAGACAGCCAAGAGGGTCATGGTGCAAAATTAGGCTAAGAACTCCAGGGCGGATTGGCTACTTCTGTTGTCATTTAAGGTGACAGAACTTATCAGGCTAGGGAAGGAGTCACCAAGGTGCATGTGACAAAGAAGGTAACAAGAATGTTAGCATCAGTTCTGTGTTTTCTAGACCCTGGTCTGGCTGGGTGCTGGGGACACATCAGTGAACAAAATAGGAAAAAATCCCAGCCTTCATGGACCTGAACCCTGTGTGTGTGTGTGTGTATGTGTGTGGTCTTTCAGGTGCCACAATTCAAGTGCTGTCAATGGCCCAGTTGCTGGGGCCTTGGTCAGGTTCAGTTAGGTGGATCATACACAACCTTGACGTCCTTTCGAGCTTTAATTTTTTTTAAATGCTGACAATGATGAGGCACAATTATCCAGGCATTTGCTCTGTGAGAAGCCCTTTCAGGATAAGGAATCCCCTTTGCTTTTAAAGCAGTATATTTTGGTCCAGAAATCGGTGACCTTTAGACTTTCTCAGGTCCATTTTTTTGTCCTGTAGGAGATGTTGTCAGGGTCCCACCCGTGTTCCCTCAGTCCTTCCTGGAGGTCATTTGCTGACAGTTTCTGTACCTGCTCATGGCTTCCCCTGCTTCCCTCCCTCTTCATCGGAGGGAAGTTTGCCCACATACAGGACAAGGTGGAAGCGCTGGGAGCTGACGCTGTAGGGACAGGAGATGGTGGATAAATACCCAGCATCTTCACCCCCAGAAGGACTATTGTGAGGTGTCTCTCCCAGCAGGTCTTGGGGAATTGAGCCCCAGCATCCACAGTGGTGATTCATTAATACCCACTTTTAAAAAACCTTCTGTCCCCTCTTTGTCTCACTTATCCACTCTGCCATGCTGGGGGAGCTCCCTGAGACCACCTCCCGGGAAGTACTTATGTTTACGTCTTTGGCAGAACCCACATTAAGGTTGTCTATTCACCTGACGCAAAATGCACGGATTTTCAAGGCTCAAGCTGATGGGCTTTGCTGCATAATTTGGGTTTGGACTGTATCGTGTTGCTTTCACAGAATTGCTCCTGCTTGTATATCTTGTACCTGCATCAGACCGAATCAGTCTTCTCGCTGCTTGGAATCTCACTACTGTTTCTTTGGTGACACAGTGATATTCATTTGATCAGTTTGACCAGAGTCTGAACTCACTGAGTTGATAACTTCAAGGAACAATTCTGGTTTTCTAGTAATTGATACTGAGTGTGCTCTTCCCAGTGGGTAACAGGGATACAACCATAATCCAGTTAAAATCCATTAAAAAAAATCAATCTCATTCAAATTCAGAATAACTCCCCATTCATTTGTTTGTGCTAAAGGTGTATCAGAGAAAGAGAAGTGGCAGTGAGCAGGTAGTGGTAGGGACTTTCTTCTAAGTCCCTCTTCCATATCTTGGAGTCCAACTCTAACACTTGGCCCAAACCTACGGGGAGCCGTTGGGAAGGGAGACTCCAGGAACCCAGCTGGCTGCAGTCAGCTGCCTTGGAGATGCTGTTGGAAGAAAAGGAGATACCTGAATATCATTTGTGTCTTCCTGAAGACTACAGCCTCTGCCTTTAGAGTGGCTGTGGTGTAGATGACCCTCGTGGTTTTTAGAGTAAGGCTCAGCTCCTCCCCAAACCCCTCCCAATGCAGAAAAGCAGCCATATTTCCTTCTATTTCCCACCCCTGTCATGGCGCATGCCTCCAGGGCACTCTCCAGGTCGGGCACCATCCATGGCTTAGTTAAGTGTGCCGTCGTGTTCCCTCTCCACGCTCCATCATACACAGAGGAGGCTCGTGTCTTCTATGCCCTCCAATGGTTTTGGGAACCTGCCTGGGGAAGGTTGCCTCCATCTTTCCCTTCCCTGGCGCACAACATGCTACTATCATGAGATCTCATCCTGCGATTTCAGGCTATTTCCGGCTATTTCCTGAGGGTTTTCACACTCTGACATTTCCGGATGAGAAATGAACTCTTCATATACCAGTATCCTCCTCCACGTCAATGGAGAAATGTTAATGTCTCCCCTGTCACCCAAAGAGGAGGAGGGGGCCCAACACTCTCTTCCAGTCTCCTGGAGAGCCTCTCTAATCCAGAACAATGTCCCTTTTATACCTTTTCATTGGTAAAAGCCTTCAGATCAGTTTAACATCTTTGGAACAGGGGAGTAGGGTAGGAGTCTTAAGCCATGAATCAAGCTTTCCTTGAATTTCGCCTTCCAGATTTTAATCATTTTCTTTTCTCAGTAGTGGTGGCTACATCATCGTTCTGTACTGCTTGTAACCACTGGGGATGGGAACATTTATCTCTGGTTCACATCATCATCATGTTATACATAATTTTATAGCAACTCATTTGCATTCCCCAAGATCTTAAAGAAACCA